GTTGTTGTATAGAAGCTGCCTGTCTGTATCATTTCACTTTCTTCCTGTTATCATACTGTAGTATTATTTTCCCTTTTGTGAGGTTTCTTACTTCCCTTTCTCCCGTGTTGTTTTCAACAATTTATTTTAGCAAACTTGAAAACCATACATATACAGAAAATGAACTTTATTATATAGAAATAACCACTGTGAGCATTGTGGTGTCTTGGCTTACAGTTTTTCTTTGTGTGTGCATATAGATGACTTTTAAAATTGGATCAATCTGGGCATTCTTGAGCCTTTTTATTTATTTATTTTTATTTTTGTAGAGATGGGGTCTCACTCTGTTGCCCAGGCTGGAGTACAGTGGTATGTTCATAGCTCACTGCAACCTCCAACTCCTGGAGTCAAACGGTCCTCCTGCCTTAGCCTCCCGAATAGCTGAGACTACACGTGTACACCACCATGCTCATCTAATTTTTAAATTTTTTGTAGAAATGGGGTCTCACTTTGTTGCTCAGGCTGGCCTCAAACTCCTGGGCTCAAGCAATCCTCCTGCCTCAGCCTCCCAAAGTACTGGAATTACAGGTGTAAGCTACCATGCCCGGCCTTTTAACCTTTTAAAAAAATTTTTATATTCTGTGTATATTTTCCCATATGTTTCTATATATTTTTTGCTTTATAATATAGATGTATTATGAGTTAGGCCTACTTGCTGAACAGTTAGGTCTTCAGGTTCTTCTTTTCTTCCTTCCTCCCTCCTGTCATCCTTCCTTCCCTCACAATATTGCAATATCCTTTTAGCTAAATTGTTTGGACAGATCAGCAGTTATTCCTTAGGATAGTGGAGTAATGGTTCTGAAATGTTGTCATCTGTGTTATATATATTTTGTGTCTCTGTTGTGACCAGTCTGAACTTTTCATTCTAAAGGCTGTTAGTCTGGCCCTGCCTTTCTGACTTTATCTCCTATCCTTTTCTCACACCCTCCAGCTACACCAAACCACGTGTGCTTTCTTAAGTGTGACTTACCCATGTCTATTTGCTTTTCTTATCTGCTCAGTAAATACTTCTTCAGTCTTCCGGCCTAAACCTATGTATGTTCTTGGTCTACCTAGGCAGAGTTAGGTGGTTCCTCTTTTGCATCTTGTATACTCTTCTGTTGGATTGCTAATAGAATATTTCTAAAATTCTCAAAATTTTAGTCTCCTCCACTAGGCTAGGCTGTGAGTGCTTCAATAGCAGGGTCATTGTTCTGGTAATCTTTCTCTTTCCAGCATCTAACCCATGGTAGGTACTTAATAAAGGTTTGAATAAATTTGAGACCTGGGGAAAAGCAGATCTCTAAAATGTCATAATCAAATTAAATATACTTTTTAATTCACTCTGAGATACCATGGAGAAAAAGTTATCTGATTGAAATATATGAATGGAGAGTATAGATACAATAGTATATTTTTTTCTCATTTAAAAATTTATTTATTTCAAAATATTACGGGGGTCCAAATGTTGAGGTTACATATATTGCCTTTGCACCGTCCGAGGCATAGCTACAAACATGCCCATCCCCAGACAGTGCTTACTGCACCCTTTAGGTGTGAATTTATTTACCCATTCCCTCCTCCCCCCTCCTTCCTGCCCTACACCGATGAATGCTGCTTCCATATGTGCACTTAAGTGTTGATCAGTTAATACCAATTTGATGTTGAGTACATGTGGTGCTTGTTTTTCCATTCTTGTGATACTTCACTTAGAAGAATGGGCTCCAACACCATCCAGGATAAATAAATATCATGAGTGATTAAGAAAATATGTAATAGTAATTTATGCCTGTGTTTAATGTTGAAACTATAGTTTTATTAACCTTTGGAATTTAAGTGAAATAAAAACTGATGGCTTAAGTTTTTATCTGAGCACAAATACTTAACTATCATATAAAATTTAAGTCATGTAATAGCATCCTTAGGATTTTAGTTTTTATAAAAACATCTGAATGACTGTAAGAAAGGTTGGACTAATTAAAGAATATTAGAACCATAAATAGTAATCTTTGGGACGGTAGAATGTTTGGAGTCATGAAAGACTAATACCAGGTTTCCAGAGAAAATGTTAATTGATAGCCATAATTAAGGAATACAGGATAATTGATCTGTCCTTGTAATCTCTTTATGTCCTTCTGAGATTTTTGGCTTTATCATTCAAAATGATGGCTACTTTCTTTGGCTTTAAAGTTCTTCAGTCCAAAAGGTCCAAATTCTTTCTCATTTTTTATTTAAATGTTAGCC